ATAAGGGCTTTGGAGGGTCCTGGGTGCTGGCCTCTGCTCATTTTGCCCCTCACAGAGACCCCAGGCCCAGCTGAAAAATGCCCCCCAAACCCTAACTTCTCTGGTCTATGGGGGCAGCAATGTCAGTAACACTTGTTTGTCAACACAAATGAGACAAGGACCCTAAGACTTCCTGCCCAGCCCTCTGGCCTGTGAGGACACCTCACGCACAGGGGACATGCGGCCCCTCAGAGCAGCACAGTGGGGGTGGTGTCTCCTTGGGCGGCAGGAGGGCAGCGGTGGGTGGGTGGGCAGGTGGCTTGTCACTGCACGCGGCGGCAGTAGTAGCCCAGGACCTTGCACTTTTCACAGAGGTGCTGCGGGTGCTCCTTGCTCTGGTCAGACACGTCCAGCCCATCAGGCTTCTCCAGGGGTCTCTGCAGAGAAAGAAGAAGGGGGCCCAAAGGGGGATAGAAAGAGACACGTACAGAGAGAAGAGACAGATCCACAGGGAGGGGGTGCAGACAGAGCAGCAGACAGACACACATACAGGAGAGAGAGAGCATGCACTTGTAGGCATAGGTTGTTTTGACCAACGCGTCCAGGGCCCTCCTGCCTCTTGTTCTGGGTGGCACAGGCTGAGGCCCTGAGCTAGGCCCAGAGTTCTGGGAGGCAGTCCTGTCCCCAGAACCCCAGGCACAGGCACTGCTTTGCTCTGGTCCAGTACTTTCTGAGCAGCCACCACCTAAAGCTCACCGAAGTCCAGCATAGAGGAGGGACAAGGGTACAGATGGTCTAGATGAGGAAACTGAGGCCCAGAGTAAGGCAGACCCAAACCTACATCTCCTGATTCCCAGTATCCTGTGCTTCCAGCCACTTGTCACTGTCACGCCTGCCAGTGCAGCCTCCGGATGTAAGGGAAGCTTAACCTGGACACAGTCACAGTGCTTCAGGCTTCTGGAGAGTGAGTCACTAGCTCCAGAAGGTCAGCAGCCGGGGTTGCAAGTGACCCCACATCCCAGGGCCGGGCCAGCCCAGCACCTGCCCTGTGTGTTGAGCGGCTACATAAATGGGACCACAGTTTTCTGACAGTGAAAAGGTGACTCGCCAGGTTTATGACGGCACTCACTCACTATGTGACCACAGAGAGTCTCAGTTTCCACATCTATAAAGTGGGCCTATTCATAGCACCCTGCTTGCAAAGTATGAGGCTCCAGAAGGACGTCCAAGTGCTTGTGAACTGGGCAACATAAGGTGCAGACACAAGCAGTTCTGTTGGGTAGGGGCTTCCCTGTCCCTCTTTCCCTCCTTTCCTGGCTCTCAAAAGCCAGCAGAGACTTATTTCCCGGCAAAATTTATGGAGGCCTTGCAGAACACCTCCTGAGCAGACAGTTTCTTGGCTGGCTCACAGAGATGTTGCTTTCTCTCCAGCCCCCGCCTTGCCTACAGAGGGGTCCCCTGCTTGGGGGGGAAGTCAAAGGGGGGGTGGGTCAGAGCCATCTGGGAGCCACGTGTGGAGGAAAGGGTGGCAAGAACTACAGCTGGGATGGGACAAGGGGGCTGTGGAGGCAGATCCCAGCCTAGGATGGCCAGGACAGGGCTGGGAGGGCTGTTGAGGGTCAGCGCTGTTCTGGTCCCAAGCAGACACTGAGAGCAGTCTGAGCAAGAGTCAGAAGATTCTAGAAAGCAAAGAGGGGGACTGTGGGTTCTAGGCCAGCGGTCGTAAAACCCATCCCTCTGTTTCTAGCCTTCAACCACAAAGCACAGACCTGGTTTGTCCTCTGTGGACAAGTGACCAAAGCCCTTTAGGGCTTTCAGATGACTGGCCTCCTGTCTGGCCTCCAGCCTGTCCAGGGGAGAGGAGAAAAAGTTTGCCAAACCTGGGCAAGACCTTCCTGCAAGACCTGGGCTCTGCTGCCCATGAGCTATGTGGCCATGCACAGCCAGCCACTTGACCCGTCTGATCCTCTATCTCCCCTTCTGTGGAAGGGGTGCTGGTAACACTTTCCTCATGGTGTGGTTCTCAACAGACAACTCAATGGAGAGAGGGCATAGGGACAGCACTGTATATAGAAGCTGTGAATATTGTTAACTCTCATTAATAGGAGGGGGTGGGCAGTGCCTGTGGCTCAAAGGAGTAGGGTGCCGGCCCCATATGCCAGAGGTGGCGGGTTCAAACCCAGGCCCGGCCAAAAAAAAAAAAAA